GTTTTTCATCAGTTATTATTAGATACCCATTATTTTTCCTTACTTTTGGGTCATCCGGTAGATATTTCGTAGAGAAAAATCATCGTCATTTTCAGCGACATTTCTCCCTTTGGCACATTTCTATTTATGCTCTTCGTTTACACGTCATGTTCATTGAATTGACTAAGTAACACAAAAAAATTTTTTTATAATAAAAATTTGAAATAAAGAGAATTTGTTTTGATTAATTAATTTTATCGATATTTGTTCAAAATTGAATAATAATATCAATCTGAATAGTATATATTAAGAGAAAATTATTTCAAATTATAAGAAATACAAAAATACCAATGATTGTTAATTGAAGGACATAGCACCAATGCCATAAAAACTACAATGTGTCATGATAGAAACTGAAGAATCTAGTGAAAAATTCAAATCCATATATATAGAGACAGAAATATAGATCGATGATTATTTAATAGCCTAAATACATAAGGATATTTATAGATAAATATTAGAATCAGGTTCATTATAAACAAAAGAATCAAATTTGTTACACAGAATAGATGCATAAATAGAAATTGAAAATGTTTTTAAGTCAATATACTTTATTATTTTCTTTATTTGTATTTAAAGATCGTTGTAATTCGACAAATAATTCAAAGTAAAACTTTAAATTATTATTAAAAATTTTTGAAAATAAAATTTATATAAATCTGATTGAGATTCAGTTAGATAATAATCATAGTTTAAATATTCATAAATATTCAATTTAAAAAATATTAGAAAATGAAATCTATTCGAACTAAAAACAAACCAATACAAAATATAAAAAGAATTTTTTTTTTAAAATCAAATCTCGAATATTCTATATTCTAAATTGGATATAAAGGCATACAATCATTATTTAATAGTAGTTATTGACAACAATACAGTTCGAAGGACATTTATTATTTTACCTGTATACCTGTCTTTATAGATTTCATTGAAACACGTCTTATTCTGAGTTAGGTAACAAAAAGAAAAAGGAAGAAAAAGAATAGAAACCACGACTCTTACGATCGTCATTTTCTTTTCCTTCTATTCTACCAATGTTAAAAAAAAAAACCGAGAGTAAGCAATACTTTTTTCATATAGTATTTGTCATTGAGCAACAAATGAAAAAGAAATATTCATCCAACTTTAACTTGTTATTTGAATTTGAATTTTTTGTTTTCTTTTCATATTTAATTCAAAGAAAATATTTGTTATATTTCATCTTCCAATACTTTATTAATCATCATCATCATCAAACACGTGTAGAATATTCTTTTTTTTTAGTAAGTTGAAGAAAGAAAAAGAAGAAAGTACGATTATTTTTTATATTTAAACCAAAAAAAAAACGAAATTTTAGATTTTTAAAATATTTTAAATGGATTATCCATTTGAACGACGATATCGACGACGACGACGACATCAATCAGTATCATTACATGATAGAACTTCTTCGAGAGATGATGATGACGATGATATTGAACAACAAATTATTGAACGGTATGAAGAAAAAAAAACCAGATATTTGACAATATAAAAAGAAATATTTCTATTAGAGCTATGGAAATTGAACGAAGTCGAGAAAAAAGTTTACATCGTCAACTTGAATATATCATTTATAATATTAAAGTTTGTTCTTTTCTTTTATTTGTTTATATCTAAAGCAAAATTTTTTTCTTCTAAGAAATTAGAAAGACGTCGTCATCAACGTGAACGAATACGATCATCAGAATATTATGAAATACCAACAAGTCTTACTCGTCATCGAAGTCCTGATTCACATACAGTATGAAACAAAATTTATTAATTAAAAAAAAAAAAAAACTTAAATTGATTATGAATTAGTGTCGAGATTCATCATCTGAACAAGTTTATCAAACAAATGACTCAAGTTATTCAGAAGTAAATTATTTCAAATAATGTCTTTCTCTTTTCTATGTGTTTTTGTTTTTTTTTTCTACAGACAAGAATTCGATCAAGATCAATATCAAAAAAATTCTTACCATATCAAATAACAATGATTTATCAAGGAATAAAATGTCAAAAACATGGTGATGAAATAATGGTTTTACAAGAAAATATAATTGTTTTTAAAGGATTTCTTCGACCAGAAGGTATTTATTTAAATAAGAAATTTTATTTAAAATCTATGCATTTTTATTTTCTTGTTAAGAAAAATTTACATTTAAATTTAAATGTTATTATCGTCAATTAATTGTTAAATTAGAATTTTTTATTAATGAACTTTTTGAATGTTGTTTATCAATCGATTGTCAACAAGAACAAATTGTTGAAGAAAATCATCTTTTTCAATTACAAACTATACATTCATATCAATTAAATCAAAAGTTTATTCAAATTTTTTATTTTGATTTTTGAGAAAAAAAATTCTTTTTTTTGTTTTTATTTAATTAGACATCAAACAAATGATGAAGAACAATTGACTAGTGAAACAGAAAAATCAGTAAAACAAAATTCAAATTTTATTATCACAAAATATTTAATTATTTTTTTCCTAGAATTCTATTGATTACTGTCGACAACATCATCATAATCATAATTCAAGTTCACCAAGTATATTTTTCAAATAAATTTACCAAAAATTATTTTCTTTTTTGTAATAACAAAGTGATAAATGGAAATAAATCATCAAAATTAGATAATCATAAATCTAAAACACAACAACAATCTTTATCAAATCTAGTAAGTTATTAAATAGTTACATTTGTTTTTTATTGCTTTATTTAGATATTAAAAGATCGAAATGAAACAACAAGAGAAACTTCACATTTTAAACAACGATTTCAACATAATTCTACTCCACCTCAATTACTCTGTAAGAAAATATTCAATCTTTTAATCAACACATTTTTTTTTTCGAATTTGTGAAAAAATTTATTAATTTAATGAAAATGCATACATAAATCCATTTCAAAAAAGAATGGATTCACTTGTTTCTAGAATAACTCGGCAATGCTGGAAGTTATCGAGCTCGGGTTTTCGCTATTATAAAAAGAGTATCACTGGGAGCACAAGACTATCTGAGAATCAAAATCCTTGAAAAATTTTCTATGGAATTTTCAAGGATTTTTCGCAAAAAATGCCTGTCTGGTTAACTTGATTAGCTGTATCTTTAATTTAGCCATATTGTAGTCCAATATCTACTTTATAAACCTCAAGATTTCTAAGCGTTTATCGACCTTTTCTTAACGAAATGATGACCATTTTTACCAAATTTTTGACTCCTTTCTAGGTATTTATCGGAAAATAAAATTACGGCATTTCGACTGGGAAATTTGTCGATAGAATATTCAAAAAAAAATATTCCTTTCTCGAGATATTCAATTTTCAATTTCATTTCAAAATGCAGCTAATCAAGCGAATTAAACAATGATTTTCCAAAAAATTCCTGGAACTTCCTAGAAAACTTTTCAAATATTTTGATTCTCAGGTAGACTTGTATTCACTCTGATGCTCCTTCTGACGGTGGAAATCCAAGTTTGATAGCTATCAGTGTTGTTGAGTTATTCAACAAACAAGCGAGTCTATTCTTTTTTGAAATGGATACTATCTCAAAGTCAATGTACGAAACTGATTTTATTTAAAAATTACAAGAAGAACTGTTGCATTAGTATTCTTGTCTGTGTGTTGTAGTTCATATACAGTCCTCGATCTATAGGTGTTATCAGCTCTGATCGATAAAGCATTTATATCCAAATCCAATAATACTTTTTATACTGATAGAATATTTTAAAATTTGAACCTCCTTCAGTGATTAAGTTTCTAGCACTGAAAGATCAATCATCATTCAATATTCATAAACGTATAATGGAAGTTTATGAGGATCGACACTCCATCACACATTACAATTTCTGAATGAAATTGGACTTTTAAAGATAGACAATTAAGTATTGACGATGTTCCTCGTTGTGGTCGAGACGAATATTAATACAATAAGATAGTTACCCATCGAATAACCTCAAATTGCAATTCAGCAAATAGTGGACACTTATAGTATTTTAAATACATGATGGATTCCATTTTACATGATCAATTACTATAAAATTATCACTATAAGCTACCACCATACCTTAGTAAACATTCGATGGAAACTCACTAAATTTTCTTTAAGTTTTTCATTTTCTATCAGTGTATATGAAGTTGATCTCAAATGCATTGCTATATTCAGACACGAATATTTAATCGATCAGAGCTTATGACATCTATAGATCAATACTAATGCAAAAGTACTTCGGATGGGATTTTAAATAAAGTCAGTCTCGGAACTTTACGAACGATCCTCATGCATTGAACTTTTTTTTTTTAATCTAGCAAGACAACAAAGTGAATCAAGATATGAAGAAACAATGAAAAGTCAAAAATCAAAATCAAATCCTATTCAAGTAGATCTTAAAAATAGTTTTTTTTTTTTTCAAAAATTAATAAAT